CTGGGCCACCCTCCCCTGGGCGAGTTTGGGGCCATGAAGAGCTTCTCGAAGCGCGAGGCCGACAGGAGGACGTTCTTGGAGCAGGTCCGGGAAAGCAAGGAGAATGGCTACCTCCTCTCTTCCAAAAAAATCGGGTCGGGGGCTTTCTCCAAAGTCTATCTGGGTTACGCCACCCAGGAGAAGATGATGCAGAACTACAAGCTGGCCTCAGACCTCCGGAATAAGCGGCACTCCATGGTGAGCCCGAGGATGGCCGGGGCTCGAGGGAGCTGGGAGGGGGCGGCCCAGGGGACCAGCAGGGTGGGGGACACGGCACTCGGCCCTCCTGCTCAGGCCCACACTGCCGGGGGGCTCGGGGCCTGCCATCTGCTCCCGCAGTTCTCTTTCTCCCGATAGTTATTGACTTAATATGGGCCGATTTGATTTGGAGTTAGTCCAACTCTCTTTGGTGAGAGTTGTGCACTATTTCAACATATAATGGAAAGAGAAGAAGAGGGCAACCGGCAGGAAGGAGGATGGCGAGGGGGGCACTCTTGGAAGCCCTGAAGGGCCAGGTTAGGGACAGATCCTCCTGGAGCTCGCTGATGGTCAGCACCAACCTGGTGGCACCTAATCAGGGCGACGGAGCGGCTTTCAGTCATTCAGATCAGTAAATGAACGTGGCCGTGCTGCCCGCCGCCCTCGGGCTAAGCTCCCGCTTCCCTGCCCTTTGGCTGCCTCCCCCTTCCTTCCCAGAAGGGCTCCTTGAACCAATCGCTTTCGGAGGGAGCTCCTCTTGATCCCAGATCCTTCTCCCACCCCTTCCCACTGCTTCGGACAAGGTGGACTGTACCAGAGCTGGAAAAGTGCCCAGGGCGCCAGTCGGTCTGGTGTTTATGCTTCACTGGGAAAGGTGGTGGGGCTCCAACTTCCAGGTGGTCTAATCCTGCTTCCTGATTTGCCGGTCCAGTCTGAGCATTTCTGTACCTGCTCCCAGGTAAGTTTGCATCTTGGAACAGCTGCTGCCTCAGGGCACGGGGGGGCATCTTGAAGGGGCTGCTCTGGCAGCAAAGGCAAGGAGCTCCTCTCTGGGTTGGCAGGCAAAGGCAGCTGTTGGCTTCAGCGGCAAGGAGCGTTGTGGCCCCCAGGTGCGGAAGGGCCAGGTGGCTTGAGCCACTGACCCCGCGGGTAGGCTGCAGCCCACAGGAGAGGCTGTAGCTCAGGCAAAGAGGTCGTTCGTGATGGGCCCCCGACGCAGGTTCGGACTGCAGAAGAATTCCTGCTTAGGGGCTCTCGGCTGGCAGGACCTAGGAGGGCCTCTCTGACGGAGAGGCAGTGAAAGCAGGCACTGGAGCAGGTTCGGGCCCGTTGTGCAGCTTCCCCTCTCCGTCCCGATCCGTACGTCTCGCCTCGTCCTAAACTTGCGGGTCGAGCCCTTCACATGCTAGCCAGCCGATCGGCTTCCCAGCTCCGGATCTGAAGTTAGGAACTGTGATCGAGGAGGCCAGGGCCACCTTTAGATCAGCAAGCCTTAGGAACGGTCCCAGGAGTTAAGTGCCGAGGCCAGCTGGTTAACCACGCCAGGAGCCGTGAGCCCGTTCCGAGCACGCTCTGGCCTTAGGTGGGGCTTCCAAAATTGGCAGCAGCCGTGCGACCCTCTTCCTGCTGTTTCTGTCCAAACGGTGGCAGGAAAGGAAGAGCCGCGTCGAGGGCTGGGAGGATGCTCAGCTCCCTCCTTCCCTGTGGCGCGCCCACCGGCCCCTCCCCCAGCCTGGGATTTTCGCCCAGAGGAATGCTTCCTGCCACTTGCCCACTTGCCCGTGCGTGTTTCCTTCAGTCCCGCTCTGAGAAGTCGTTCGAGCCTGTTGAGGGTCCCCTTCGCTGGCCACTGAGCCTGCCTTTGGCTGTGCCTCCCATGGCGCACAGCCTGCCCTGCCTCTGCAGAGGGAAGGGTGGAGGAGCCCCGGCCGGGGACAGCATCGGGGCTTTGACCCGGGCTCGGCAGGGAGTCTCAGGTCCAGGCGCTCGGCCCTCGGTTCAGCTCTCGGCTGGGTTGGCAGGAGTCCCAGGCGTGGCACGATCAGATTAGAGTCTCGATTCCCGACAAGAATTGGCCTTCAGCTCTGTCTCTCCGCTCCGGAGTTTAAACTCTTGGCTTCTTCCTCCGATGGCCCTCGGAGGCAGCGAGACACGTTTACACAACTGCTCACTCCAGCCTGGGAAGTGCTGGCTCCTGCCTCCCAGCTTGGCCTGACCCATCCCTCCTCCAGTTCCTCTTGCTCAGAAGCGCCAGGTGCTTCTTTCTTCCTCCTGCTTGTGGGTCACAGATTACAGGGACCATCAACTTGATGCCCAGAGTTGTTATGGAATTGGGCCACCTTATAAATTTAATAAATAAAGTAAAATAAAACAGCCAAATGGTCTGGCTGGCGCACCATGCCAAGCTACAAAAAAGGTAGCAAAGCCAATATTAAGAAAGCTTAGCAGGTTGGGCATTTACTTGAATGAGCGTGTTAACTAGGTTTACCAATGTTAAACAGGTTAAGAAGAAGCTATTATGCTCATGTAACATAAGATTTCTTCCCACCCCCAAATTATGGCTGGATATGGTAGCCTAGTTCATACAGCAGCTAAGTTGGGTTCGCACTGAATTGCGAGTCACTCCACCCTAGTTCAGCATCGTAGGCGAGTCCAGTCCATTGGAGAACACAGCTGCTGGTTTCAGCTGCGAATTGCTTCTGAACGTGCCGCTTTCGCTTGTCCTTGGGGCGTCAGTGTTGAGCGACACCCCTCCGAAGGCATCTGAGCTGGTGGACAACGCCATGCTTGGGGCCTGCGATTGCTGTGGCGCAGAGGTGCCTCGTGTGGAAAGGGGACCTCGCTCAGCGCGATTCTGGCGGGGGCCAAGTAGCATCCAGACCCAGTGAGGTAGTTGGCCCCGCCCAGATCCCCAGATCCTGGCAGAGACATGAAACCGCTCCAGACGTAGGACGGGTTGCATTTCAGTGCCCGTAGTTGCCAGCTAGCTTGGCCAAGGCTAGGGGAGAGTGCACAGAGGGGAGATATTGGTCACGCTCAGTCTAGCCAGGAAGGGCTGTAAAAGGATTTCTGACGTACATCCACGTCCCTCACCGCAGAGACGCATCTTCATGCAAGCAGGGCGGGAGGTTGGCCAGTGGCAACTGGTTGCTCTCCATTCAACCACCTCTGTTTCAGTGAGGCTGAAGCTCCGCAGCTACCAGTCCCAGAGTTGCTGAAGTACACCATCAAGCTTTCCTGGAGACGTGTCTCTCCCTGGGGCCTTAAATGGAGTATTTCCGTTACATCATTCTTTGAGGCAAAAAGTGTGTTTTGTTTGTTCTCCCAGAACACACTTTAATTATAGTTTAAAGTGGGAAAAACTATATCGAAAGGTTACAAACTCCGTTTAGCACGGTACAGCATTCACTCAAGACATGCACACATTTCTCCCTCTAGACTTTTAAAGTATTTACTGGGCAGGAAAAATACTGTCACCTGATGGTCCTGCCTGGCAGATCGGGGCCAGAGCCAGGCCAAGAAGTGACCTGTTTTCCATCAGATTAGCAGGGATGGGAGGGGGTGTTACCTGCATTAGTAGTAATGGCATCTTGGCCACTCGGGGGAGAGAGGTCAAAGTAGCTGATAATAAGGACATACCAACGTGACTTTAAAAAGCTGAATCATTTCAACAAACTGACAAAACAAGTAAAACCCCACTGATAAGATAGAAGTTCTCTAACTCTGTGGCAGCATGAACCAACATTTCAAATTGGATTGACCTTCTTCACATGGCTTCAGGAATCTGACCGTTATACAATTTAACTTTGGTTACACATCCGTGGAGTGGTAACTCACTGGCCACGTTTCTGCTTAGACGGGGTCGGCCTCGTGCGGTTTTGTCCACAGAATCCTACTGAACTAATAGGCGGCTGTGTGTGTAAATGTGGGAGAAATGCTGATCTATGAACAAGAGTTATGCACATCAGGTCCTATTAAAAAGGAATCATTAGGACTTGAATTTTTCATTAGCGGCTTAAGTCCCAGTATCCTGTTAGAGCTACACTATAAATTGCTGTTTTTCACCTGCCGTGCTTGGACAAGCTGGTGGTCTCGACACCGAGGGTGGGATGATCAACCTCCACCTCTTCCTCTGCGGGCAAAGCCCACCCCCTTGGGCACTGCTGAGCTTTCCCTTCTGGTCTGCCTGGACAAGAAGGAAACATTTTGGGGCTTGTCTGTGATGGGAGCAGCAGGTTCTCTCGGACAGACCTGCTGGAAAACACCCTGAAACGCGCCGTCTGCCCATCAGAATCGCTTTCTTCCATCGGCTTGTGACCAAGTGCTTTCGGGGAGACGTTCTTATCCAAATTATTGTGCAGGTGGCATCAAACAACTCACTGGCCATTTCCGTGTCTTCCCCGAGACTCTGTCCCAGCTTTCTTTCGATTGGCCCATTGCCCTGTCCCTCTGGCCCTGAAATGGTGCCAACTGTCTTCTCCACAGGTTCACCATCTTTTTATCTGTCTCTCTGATTGATTGTCCAGAGTCCACTGGAATTGGGCAGCCAGTCAGTTTAAATTAATTAATTAATAATTGCCATGAGGTGGGGGGTTCCCTAGTTCTATGCTATGTTCCATAATGGGCCCAAAGGCTTGGTTTTATTCAATGCTGCTTCCTTAAGGGCCCGAATCTGGGCTGAGCTGCATTGGACATCCCTTGCCCAGTCTCTAATTTGCTATTTTTGGACCATCAACTACGAAGGGCCCCAGGAAGAAAGAAATGGATCATCTGGATCCTTTACAGTCAGGGGCAGGGCCGAGGCCAGACACTGCCTCAGTCACTCCCATCCATGGCTTATGTGTGGGGAGGGCAGGTGTTCCAGCCCTGCTAGATCTCTTGATGGTCGGCGGACCGTCTGTGAGGGTTGGGGGCACGTCTTTCTTTGGTGGGTCGGCTCCTTCCGGCTTGCGTGTTCCAGCTGGCCTACGGGTGCCTCAGGCTTGACCCCCATCCTACTTAACATCTACATGGAGTGGCTGGGGAGGCCATTCTACAGTTTGGGGCTTGGCGTCATCAATTGCTGACGAAGCCCCACGATGAGGCCCAGCCGCCCAGGAGACGCATCTTGTCTTGGGGCTGCAGGCTGCACGGCTCTGGAACAGAGGTCCCAGCTTCCCAGATGGCGCAGCCACGGGTCCAGAGACTGGCCGACTTGGGGACCGTGCCAACCTGAGCTCTGGGGATGTGCGGCCTGGGGCGCTCCTGGACACCCCTGCTGTTGGAACGGGGGAAACTGCCCTGGGAGCCTGTTGGGACCGTGCCCGGAGCAGAAGGCTGGTCGCTGGTGCCCTCCTTGCCTCCAGAGGGACTACCGCAATGCGCCCTGTGTGGGGCTGCCCTGAGGACCACCCAGTAACCATTACTAATACAAAATACAGTGGCTTGTATGTTAACTGGGACAACCAGTGGTTGTCCTGTAATCTCAACATTGTGGGAGATGGACTGGCTACCAGTTTGTTTCCAGGTGGAATTCAAAGTGCTGGTGTCTGCATGATGCGAGACCGGTTGGTCCAAACCGAGTCCATCTGCCCAGGGCACGCTGGCCAAGAATCCCCATGCCTCGTGCAGGGCAATACGGGGCACAGGCGTTCCGTGCCAGAGGATGAAAGGAAGCTTTTACCCAAGTATGGGAAGAGGTGCTGCCCCATGGCTGGTCACTGTAGTAAGGCCTTGGCCATTTTCGATATATGGTGGATTGCTGTATTGTATTGTTTGTTGCTTGCAGGCTTCTTAGAATCAGATGACTGGAATGGCATGAAAGCATTTAAAATAAATCTGTTACACCAAACTGTAAATCGTGTCAGAGATGGCTGAAGTGACACACAGCTCCAAAAGGGCAGCACAGGCAGAGGCGCTCTGGTCCAGCAGAGATGCCCCAAGCAGCCACGGATGGGTGGGCCCAGTTTGGGCATCGCTGCCTACCTGTGCCAATCCTTTCCCAATCCCCAAAGGCCGGAGCAGATCCATCTTGATTCCAACATGTGCAAGGCGGGAAGAAGCAGCCAGTCGCCTTCTGCCCCGTCGCTTTCCAGGGTGTCAGAAGCAAGCTCAGAGAGCCACGGAAATTGGCAGACTGGATGGTGCAGGGGGAAATCCCAGTGGAAGAGGAAGGGGCTTGGCCCTTGATCTGTCCCGTTCTTCATAATTTAACAGAAAAACAGACCAGCTGCATGTTGGCTCAGTTGCCTGGAAGGGCTCTGGGCCGCTCCGGATCACCGTACTCCGCGAGAGAAGGCGTCTCGGGACTGTCGCAATCACCCCAAACCTTCTCCTTGAAAGGCGAAGCAAGGAAGCGCCCTGGCACCCCCACCCGCTTTAATTTTATATTAATTAATCAGTAGGAGATCTTGTAAGCCACCCAGGGCCGTTTGGGAGTCAGGTGGCCTGTAAATCAAATAAAATCAAATACTAAATCAGATCAAATCGTGCATGTTGAACACCAGATCTGTGCTGGTATTTTTTTTTTCTATGCCAGTGATGCAGCCATTGGCTTCTCAACCCAAGCGCACTTGAGACCGAGACGCCACCCTTAATGCAGAGAGGCGCACCTTGCCACCAAATAGTTGCTGCTGTCTCCCAATGAGTCGTTTGCCAACCCCGCTCTTGGGAAGTGTATGGTTTGCTGTGGAACGTATTAGGGCGTTTCAGTCCCTGGCTGTCTGGAGCAAGCAGGCGGCTGGCACGGCCCGGGTCCCTAAGCTGCCCAAAGGCGGCCTGTGCTTTGCAATGGCAAGGATTCTCTGCTGGCGCCCCCAAGCCCCATCTAAGCATGGGGGCGGCTTTGCCACCTTCCATGCTAAGAGGACGCCTTCATACCGATCCTGCGCAAAAGCTGCTGGTCCACTGGAAGGAAGAGCAGCAGCTCCCCCCTGCTCTGCCAGCGCCCCTTCTGCCTGGCGTGGCCCACTGAACTCATTTACACTTCTCAGCGTAAGCGGGGAGGCTCATCCCCTCCCAGGCGACAGATCAGCAGACTTCTCCAGAAGGGTCGCTAAATTCAGTGCCATTGCTGCAGCTGCTAAGATTTTAAATTGCCTAAAAAAGTTGGTAATTCGCTTTACTGTTGAAGCTGATTGCATTCCTTGTTGATTATTTTAACATATTGCCTCATCTCTTGCTCTGTATGCTTCCTTCTTGGGCCGCCTAATCCAATAAAATGATTGTGCTCCCTGGTTACGAAGGCCCTGCGGGGTCGGTGAGGCAGAATTCGGCCCCGAAGATCTACAGCACAGGACTTTTTCCAGCAGCCAGTTCATGCTCTACTTCCTCTTCCCACAGGTTGCTATAAAGATAATTTCAACAGCAGAGGCACCTGTGGAATATACCAAAAAGTTCCTTCCAAGAGAAATCTACTCCCTGAATGTTACTTACAAGCACCTAAATGTGGTGAGTCTGTGCAGTGAAGGGGCGTCTCTGGGGATCCCCACCCCGACAGACCCTCCTCTGAGTGAGGCTCCCCAAGACCGCTTGGATTCAAAGGTGTGTCCAAGAGCCCCCAAGGGCAAGAGGGGCCACCTGTGCAACCCCAGCGGGGATCCCATATGCCAGCACTGAAGCGTTTTCCGAAAAAGCCAGGAGCTAGCTTGGGTTCCACAAACATGCCCACCAAAGGCCAACAACAGAAACTGGTTTTGCTTGACCCTGTCACTATGCATCCAGAGCACCCACAGGCCTGGTGTCAGCTTGCTCAGGTCAAACTTTCTTCACCCGCTAACCCCAGCACAGGGATCAGAGCTGCTGAGTTGGGGCCACCCTAAATTGGAGGTTCAGGATCCAGGGCCACACTGCTCCCATTGTGTCTACAGCCAGGCTACATTTGTCATTTGCCTTGAGAAAACACCCTGTTATACCCAATGCATAACTGTCAGTGACAATTCTCCCTCCTAGCCCTTTTCACACCACAGCTTCCATTGAGAGGGTCCTGATTCTGCTGGTCACATAATTAGCAACATTTCGCCACGGAGTTTTCACACTCTGTCCCTGTGCCTTGGGCTCCAGCAGGCCAATGAAATGCAGTAGGAAAAAGGGCGAGGGCTGTCCAGGCAGGAACAACGTCTTGTGTAGAAGATGGCGCTGCTGCCTGAACTATGAACCCCAAGGCAGACCAACCATCCGATCCGGGAGTCTGGTGGCAGACCTTCAGGGGAGCTTTGCTATGCACTAGGAGACCGGTGGGGAATGGGGCGAAGGGCATGGACTCTCTGGGCCCATGCACAGTAAAAGCTCGGGCTGTCTTGTAGATCCAGCTCTATGAGATGTATAGGAATAGCAAGCGCACCTACCTGGTGCTGGAGCTTGCCTCCCGTGGAGACCTCCTGGAGCACATCAACGCCACATCTGACCGGAGGGAATACCCCGGCCTGGAGGAGGAGGAGGCACGAAGGCTCTTCCGGCAGATTGTCAGTGCTGTCGCACACTGTCACAATGTTGGCATTGTCCACAGGTGAGATGAGCAGATAGGCAGAGAGATGCAGTGGGGGGCGGGCAACAGGGCAGAACGTTCCCTGAGCCCAGAAACATCTCCAGACTAGCAGCAAGAATTTGCCTGACTAGCTGGCCTCCTCTCTCAGGAGCCACAGCCACCGGGCACCAGTTAGCACAGCAAAAGCAGCAACTGCAGGCAAAAAATTCTCATTTCTCAAAGCCAACAATCTAGAGTAGGGTTCTTGAGAGGGGAAGCCCACAGAGTGACCTGCAATCCCCTCCCTGGTGAGAGTTACTTCTCTGTCCGTTACTCATGGAGGAGCAGCGATCAGTTCCCAGCACATCAGCTGCTGACTGATCCCCTCTGGAAAAAGCGGCCAAAAGCCCCACATAAGCAGGAAGAGCATCCAGGGTCCGTGTGTGGTCCCTAACAGGTTGCCTCTTCTCCAAAGCGTTCCATATAATTGCCAGATATATACCAATGCTAATTTGCAGACACTTTCCAAGAGTATTTGTCTAATTACTCCTTAGTCACCAGTATCAGAAATGTGAATAAAAGCAAGGAAATTCAGGACAGCTAGAAGGAAGGATCTCTTTACACAACCGGGGAGTTAATAGTCAAATTTGTGATGGAGGCGGGCACCACTTTAGACCCTTTTAAAAAGGAGCCACGGCGGACCAGGCCGTCACCCCTTGACCAGTCTCAATGGCTGTTGGGTGAGAATCTCAGGGAGCGTCCCCTGAACTCTGGCTCCTGGGAAGTGGCGGGGAGAGAGAACTCCTGGCACATCTGAAGATGTCTGCTGGGCACGCTGTGACCCGAATTCTGGACCAGATGGTCCTTGTCCTGATGCAGCCTTGGGGCTCTTCCGGAGTGCCTCTCAATCCAATTTCCACTAGAATCGCACGGAGGCATTGGTGCAACTGCATAAGCAGTGAGCAGTGGCTATGCTGGTCAACGAGCTGCTGTTCTTCTCTCCCCACAGAGATTTGAAGTGCGAGAACATTTTATTGGACGAACGTGGCTTCATTAAACTGACGGGTGAGTTTTCCTCCTAGAAGAGGGGAGAATGGGGTCTCCTTATTCTGCCACTTTGTTCCAGCCAGGGAGCAGGGGGCCCCCAGGACAGCAGACAGCAGCTCCAGGGGGTGAACATGGCACCCCCCTCAGCCAAAATGGTCTGGGTTTCCAACATCAAGCTATAGTTGTCTTTATGCAACAGCAATGTTCCTGCTTCAGTGACAACTCCGGTGGCAAAGAGGTCTGCGCCTGCAATTTCTCCTTGCAGCACATTATTTCACATCTGGAACAGGGACACTGCCTGCTTCCCTTGCCATTCCCAAGGCATGTTCCAAAGGAAGTCAATTAGCTTGTTAGGTGCCACCGACTCATTGAACGCACAGATGCCCTTCCCCGCCTCGCCAGCCTATGTTTATTGGTTACCGTTTGGCAAGACTCCTGTTCCCACTGAGGCAGCAGCTTTATTGTCTTGAACCCTGCCGAGCACGAACCCTGCCGAGCACACTCGTCCACCTCCGTCACATCTGGGTATAGATTAAGCTGCTGGAGGTCTGCTGTGGCCTGACGGCTATGCATTCTTGCAGATTTTGGCTTTGCCAACCGCTATTCCTTGAAGAACTCACTAATGAGCACCTTCTGTGGTTCTGTGGCCTACACCGCCCCCGAGATCCTCATGAGCAAGAAATACAACGGGGAGCTGGCTGACCTATGGAGCCTGTAAGTGTAGTGGATGGGTGCGCAGGGCTTGGTCCAAGGGTGAGTAGGGCGGGAAGGGACCCACAACACGGCACAGGCCCCTCCTGACCTTTCTTCTCTTGCACAGTGGGGTGATCCTCTACGCCATGGTGACAGGGAAGCTCCCCTTCAAGGAGCGCCAGCCGCACAAGATGATCCACGTGATCAAGCAAGGCCTCGCTTTCCGGCAGCCGATCTCACCAGGTACAAGGAGGCGCCTCGCCTGCAGACACTCAGGCATAGGCAGGAAGCCCTTCCCCTGCTCTGCGCACTGCCCAGCACAGGACTAGACTCCGTCCGGGGCGTTCTGCAGGACCTGCAGCTTGTGCCTGTCTGGCATTGTGCGGGCTGGCTAAGGCTGGTGGGCAGGGAGAGCAGGAGGCCCCAGGCTGGCCCCATCCTGCTGGAGCAGCGGCGTTGGGCAGAGGACCGCACGCCTCCGACTGGCTCTCCCCTCTGCTGCCGCAGGGTTGATCGGGGCTCAGACTCACAAGTGACCCTGATCCTTGGAAGCCCACAGAAAAAATATGAGGAAGGGGCCCTGCTGACAGCACCGGGGAGAGCAGGAAGCTGCCCCCGAGGTTGCGGGGCAGGGTCTGGCCTGCTGGTGATGCCCTGTATATATATGCCTCAGTATATTTGCTGAGCAAGACGACCTCGCGCGAGCCCCCCTCCCCCCACCGCATGTCACCCCTCTCCTCCTCAGTCTGCCCCCATTTAGGAACATCTCCAGGGTCACTCAGCGTTCCC